TTCAAATATAACAATGAAATTTGTCAATTGGCTCTAGTTTTTCTGTAAACGGAAGGTTTTCTACTATAGGCGTAATGACTACATAATGCACAATAATTATATAGATAGATGTCTTTCCACAAATATAAAGCAAGTGATATTGACTACATAACAAAGCCTAAATGGCATAATATATTGCATAGGATTACCAAAAAAAATTATAGCCATAAGCTAAGTTGAATCATTTTAATACTTAGGATTCTCACTAGTTTTGCCTTCAGTTTGTGTCGGTTTTGCTTCTCTTGGCTTCTCTCTTGTATTCGAGGAAAGGGCTATCTCTTACAACTGTCCAGCAATAGTCAGCAAGCATTGATGGGCTCCATTTACCTTGATATCTTCTTTCCATAGCTGCAATGTCTTGATGGAAGCGCTCTCCGTGTTCATCACTCACTGCTCCACAGTTTGGTGGGAAAAAATCCAGATGCGAATGTAGAAAATGAATTTTTAGAGACATGTTGCAACCCAGATTTCTGTAAGTCTGGATGAGTTTTTCTACCACTTTCTTGTAGTCTGGTGTTTTATTGTTTCCAAGAAAATTTGATGTCACTGATACAAATGCTGTCCAGGCAGCCTTTTCCTTTCCACGCAACAGAGAAAGAAACTCATCATCATGAATAAGTTTACGAATCTGTGGCCCAACAAAGACTCCTTCATTTATTTTTGCAGCACTAAGTGCTGGAAATTTGCTAATCAGGTACTTGAAACCTGCTTTATTCTTGTCCATTGCCTTAACAAAGTTTTTCATTAATCCCAACTTGATGTGTAATGGAGATAATAAGATCTTATTGCTGTCTACAAGTGCTGGATAGTTAACATTTTTTTCTCCAGGCTGCAATGACTGGCGTAATGGCCAGTCTCTTTTGGCATAGTGCATTTCTCTCGCACGACTGTCCCACTCACAGAGGAAGCAGCAGTACTTAGTATATCCACCTTGAAGTCCAAGTAGGATAGCAATCACCTTCAGGTCACCACAAATCGACCATTGATGTTCATCATAGTTGATGCACCTTAAAAGCTCTTTCAAGTTTTCATACGTTTCTTTCATTGAAACTGCGTAAGCAACTGGAACTGACGGCAGCTGATTGTCATTATGGAGCAAAACAGCTTTAAGACTCGCCTTTGAAGCATCAATGAACAGCCTCCACTCATCGGGATCATAGCATACGCCGATGGCTGAGATTAAACCATGAACATTGTTACATACAGCAATATCACCTTCCTGGACGAAGAATGGGATCAGATCTTTCTGACGATGACGGTAGAAAGACGTACGAACATCACTTGCTAGGAGATTCCACTGTTGTAGTCTTGACCCCAAAAGCTCTGCCTTGTTCTTCGGAAGATCCAGGTCTCTGATAAGATCGCTCAATTCCACTTGTGTAATGAGGTGTGGTTCAGTGGGTGTGGATGGAAGAAAGTCTGGGTCATGTGAGGTTGACGGTTGATGACTACACGCTTCAGGTTCTTCCTCACTTGACTCAACCACGAAGGATTCTGGTGCTTTAGGAATTGGTAGCCCCTCTCCATGAGGAACTGGACGTATTGCCGATGGAATATTTGGATAGTGCACAGATAACTTTTTCTTCTTATTTAGCCCTTTTGTTGGAGGCACCATACAAAAGTAACAATTACTAACATGATCTGTTGGCTCTCTCCAAATCATTGGCACAGCGAAAGGCATAGATGCCTTTTTTCCATTCAACCATTGCTCCAGTGCCGTCCCACAAGAATTGCAGCATATATGTGGTGCCCAGCTCTTGTCCTGGTCTCCTATCTTGCAGCCAAAATACAAGTTGTAGGCTTTCTTAATCATTCCTGTTATCCTCCTTTTTTGTGAGATAAAAGTTATTTCACCGCAGATATAGCAGAAATTATCTGCTTTATTCACACAAGTTCGAGGCATTACTGAGTAGCCTATATAAGCATAAAACGAAATGTAAAGACGCTGTCGAACTACAATCAGCTACAGATACTGCAGCTTTTATGCAGTGAAGTGATGCAATTAAAGGTTAATATTGCATCATCTCAGTATACATGCAATTTTCTATTGGTCACCAGTATCAATTGCGCAATATGCAGCTGAAGTTGCATCATAATTTTGAATGGCTTACGTCATTAGATGGGTGAATATATCATGGAAACTAGAGCCAATCAACATTTTTTAGGGTCATTTTCGTTTTCAGCACCCCAAAATTATGTAAGATTAGCTAATTTTATGCCCAAAACTTTTTACCTGTTGAACAGTGTTATTGGAGAAACAAGTGAATGGGCCTATGTGCCTGGCAAAGTATTTGGGGAGCACCTGGGCAGTATTCCTGCAGCTCCTACGGGAATAGCATTACTTTTCTATTTGCTGTCTACTTAAGTGTACTGTCCCGACACTAGTAAATTTCTAAAAAAACACATACTTAACCACCTCCCGTCCGGCCGTTGTATATAAACGGCCGGACGGTGGCAGTGCAGGATCAGGTGGCCGTTTATAAACGGCCTCCCCGCCCCCTGCTTGTGCGCGCTCCCTGGGAGCGCGCAGCACCGCGATCCGGTGCCCACAGTGGAACACCGATCGTCGTACGGGACCTCTCTGCGAGGTCCCGATCATGTGATCACTGATTGGCCAATCAGTTATCACATGCAGAGTAGTAAGCAAGATGTCACTTCTGACATCATTGCTTACTACGTGTGAAATCTGTGAATGATCACAGAGGTCACATGGTACAAGGCTGTTCACAACAGCCTTGAACCATGTGACAAGCTGTGACCAATCACAGCTCACATAGTAGTTCTCAATGGCTGCAAGAACGCAGCCAGAGAGAAGGAGAAAATAATTGCTTTTACAGCCTTTATGGGTGTAAAAGCAATCAGTGTAAAAAAAAAAAAATAAATCTTCATCACCCCCCCCACAAGTAGTACAGTGTCACCATGGTGACACTGTACTGCTAGGGTGACAGTATGTAAAAAAATCCCCAAAAAACCCCATAAATAATAATATAAAAAAAAAAAATACAAATGTAAAAAAAAAATGTTTTAAAATTATAATTTTTGGTTATAAACTAATTTGGGTTATTTTTTTTTTTTTTACTAAAAAGATAATGGAATCAATTTTGGCCAAGATTTATGATGAAATATTATTTAGTTGCGAAAAAACACTTTTTTTTCAAAATTTTTGGACATCATTTACATAGCAAAAAAAATAAAAATCCCAGTGGTGAATAAATACCACCAAAATAAAGCTTTATCTGTCTCAAAAAAATGCTAAAAATTCATATGGGTACAGTGTTGCATGACCGCGCAATTGTCATTCAAAGTGCGATAGCACTGAAAGCTGAAAATTGGCCTGGGCAGGAAGGGGGTAAAAGTGTCCGGACTTGAAGTGGTTAAAGACTACAGTTTGAACATTTTGGGAATAATTAGGAAGACAGGAAATGAAGGGGATTCTAGGTATGCAGGGTTGTGGTTGTAAAGCATTTTTATGTACTCTATTTTGACATTTTATTAAACTTTTAAGAAACTGCAGAATGGTACTGTGAGAAAAGGAGCTCACAAATTATATCAATAAAAATGTTTTGCCACTGGCCAATTTATACAAAGCTTAAGGCTGTTAAAGCTGCTACTTACCGCTGAACAAAATCAGCCAAAACTACCTAAAAAAGCCTTTCTTAAATGCAAGCCACATATGCTGTTAGAGATTTGTTATTTCGAGAAAAAATTCAGTCCTGCTCCTTTTAAACTTCGTGGTCACAAATGAACGCCAATTTGATCCCACTAACTATTAGGAAATTGAAAGAACATTCTTAAAACACACAAAATTGTACTAGTGTATGAACAGCTTAAGTGACCTTGGCAGGTACAATAAGTACCCACTCACATTGCCTGCTGTATACTGTACCTTAGCGACATTAACATATAAGACCAGCAGAATAGAGTGTGCGTGTGTTTACTGCTCTAATAGTAAAAGGTGATGCAACTGCACCCTTCTCTGCTGCCCTGGGGCTAATATCATAAAAAAAACAAGTCAGCAAAGGTAACTCCCATGTTTCCACTGTGAAAGGTTCCCATTCAGTTGAAATATTTAAAATTGGGAGCATAGCAATTTTACTTCTGCTATTAGAAAATACCTTGCCTTCAGGCAGGGTGTTAGATTAGGGTGGAAGGTTAACAGAAACAGAGCACAGGTCTTAGAATAAAAAGTTTATTGTTGGAAGAGGGTGGTAGGTAGTCAATTAGGAGTCTTACCACATCAAAACTGTGGTTTAAGCTGACTTGTGGTTTTGACGCTGTAATAAAAGATGTCTTGCCAACATTGCCTTCCAGGCAAACCACACCAAAACTGCAGAATGTCTTTTTTGTGTGCTGTGGCACTATCAATAGCTCAGGAACTCAATAAAAAATACAAGTTAGAAATTGAGTCATTAATAAATCACAAACTTAGACAATAGGCCAAGCAATCATATTTGATGAGATCACATTGACTGTGCTATTTCTAGTAAATGTATCTACTAAATGAAATAGGCACAAGCAATGCAGAACCACTCCTTTAGTATTCACAAAATAATAGTGGTTCCGTTACACTTTAACTACTTGCCCTCCTGAGGATTTACGCCCCTTCCTGACCAGGCCATTTTTTGCGTTACGGCTCTCCGTTACTTCAACTGACAATTGCGCGGTCATGCAACGCTGCACCCAAATGAAATTTACATCCTTTTTCCCCACAATTTGAGCATTCTTTCTTTGGTGTTTGATCACCTGTGCGTTTTTTTTGCGCTATAAAAACCCCCCACCAATTTTGAGAAAAAAAATATATATTTTTGACGTTTTTCTATTAACTGCCTCCCACCCACCATATAGTAATATGACAAACGCAAGGTGGTTTTCTCGTTCTGGGAGGACGTCATATGATGTCCTCCCATTCTAACCGCGCATGCGCGGCTCCCGGAGCACGCAGCGTGGCGATCGGCGGTGCGCTGTGTCCCTTGGACACAGCGGATCACCGATCCACGGAAAGAGCCGAAGATGTCGGCTCGGTCATGTGATCAAGTGTGTCCAATCACAGCTGATCACATGCAAACAGGGAAATGCCGGTTATCAGCATTTCTCTCCCCACGAGCTGTCACGCTGACAGCTGGTGAGGAGAGGAGAGCCAATAATCGGCATTCCTCGGAGGGGACATGTACACAGATCATCACTGTGCCCTAATGATCTGTGTAGCCCCAGCAGTGCCACCTGTCAATGTCCATCAGTGCCAGATCTCACTGCTCATCCATGCCACCTGCCAGTGTCCATCAGTGCCACATCAATGCCACATATCAGTGCCCATCTGAGCTGCCTTTCAGTGTCACCCATCAGTGCCAGTCAGTGCCACCTATCAATGCCAGTCAGTGCCACCTATCAGTGTTCATCAGTGGCACCTATCAGTGCGCATCAGTGCTGCCTATCAGTGCCGCCTAACAGTGCCAGTCAGTGCCACCTAACAGTGCCAGTCAGTGCCGCCTATCAGTGCCAGTCAGTGCTGCCTATTAGTACCATATATGAGTGCTGCCTTTCAGTGCCCATCAGTGATGCCTGTCAATGCCCATCAGTGCCACCTACCAGTGCCTCCTCATCAGTGCCCATCAGTGTCACCAATCAGTGTCCATCAGTGCAGCCTATCAGTGCCCATCACTGCAGCCTCATTAGCGCACATCAGTGAAGGAGAAAAAAAATCACTTATTTACAAAATTTTATAACAAAAACTAAGAAAAAAGTTTTTTTTTTTAAACTTTTCAGTGGTTTTTGGTTTGTTTAAGAAAAAATAAAAAACCCCAGTGGTGATTAAATACCACCAAAATAAAGCTCTATCTGTCACAAAAAATGCAAAAAATTTCATATGGGTACAGTGTTGCATGACCGCGCAATTGTCATTGAAAGTGCAACAGCGCTGAAAGCTGGAAATCTGCCTGGGCAGGAAGGGGGTATAAGTGCCCTGTAGGCTAGTGGTTAAACATGTCCAGTAAAAAAATGTAAAATTTTTTCATAAATTTAGGCCAAAATGTATTCTGCTACATGTATTTGCTAAAAAAAAAAAATCCCAATACGTGTAAATTAATTGGTTTAAGTGAAAGTTATAGCGTTTACAAATGGTGGTATACAGTATATACTGGAATTTTTTTTTTCATACTAGTAATGGTGGCGATCAGCGACCTATAGCGGGCATTCTGACACTGGGTAGGAACTGACTGTCACTGACATCCCCAGTGACAAAAAATACAGTGATCAGTGCTAATAAAAAGCACTGGCACTGTACTAATGACACTGGGCAGGAAAGGGTTAACATGTGGGGCGATCAAAGGGTTAACTGTGTGCTGTTATACTGTGTGCTGTGTGTGTGCTTTACCCTGTAAGCACACTGCTATGTATGGCTCTGCTATGCTATTATGTAACATGACAAAATGTGGAAAATTTCAAGGGGTATGAATACTTTTTAAGGCACTGTAAATCCATCTCCCTTTACTTCCTGGAACTCTGTCTGCCTCCTGGAACATGGGACAGCGCGCATCATCTGAAGCTGAGGGAACTGGTGATGTAGTTTTCCCAGGATGCATCTGTGAGGCCCTGGTTACATCATCAGTGCCTCCCTCAACCAGGAAGTGTAAAACTGTAATTGTAGATGAAAGAAAAAAAAAAAAGAAGCTGCCTGCTGATGTGATTTATAGTGAAAGACAGGAAAGGTCCACTTTAATGCTAGCAAATGAACTAGCACTAGTAAACACACTTGACCTCTTGCCGCCTGGCTGTCATTTGACCATTTGAACATCTCGTCCCTCCGGATTGCGTCATATGACGTCCTTCCCGGATTGTGCACGGCTGATGACAGATCTGTGTACCGGCCACATTGCCAGTACCATGTGACCTGCTGTGACCAATCACAGCAGGTCACATGACAGTTGTATACAATGGATGGCTTCCTTTCATGCCATCCATTGTATGCAAGTGTGTCTAGCTGTGAATAGTCACAGTGATCACATGCACAGGCTGGGCCAATTACAGCCCAGCTGTGTCATGTGATTAGCCATGACCAATCACAGCTAATCACAACAAAAAAACCTGAATGAATTGATTTCATTTAGTTAAATGCTTGCTTATAGCAAAGAAATTATTTCCTATAAGCAATCAAATTGTGTAAAAAAAAAAAAAAATACTGATCACTTCCCCAAAGTAGTACAATGTTACTATGGTAACATTATACTACTTTGGTCATAGTGTAATATGAAGAAAAATCTTAAAAAAAGAGAAAAAAATTTAATAAAACACAATAAAAAAAGAAAAATAATTATATATTTTTTTTCGTACTGTCACCAGTCAGTGTCCCTGATCACTGCCACATCAGTTATATGCTGACGCTGTACTGCACTGGTGACAGTATGTAAAAAAAAATTGTGAAAATAATTTTTTTAATTTCTTCATTTTCCGAAAAATTATGACAAAAAAATTACAACTTCAAAAAACTCGTCATGCCTCTTATGAAATACGTCGGAATATCTACTTTGCAAAAAGGGGTCATTTGGGGGATATCTGTACTGTTCTGACATTTTTGGGCCTTGAGAAATTAGATTGGCTGGCAGTACTTCCAGATTGATCAATTTTCAGATATATCCCATAGTTTGTGAACTCTATGACTTTCCTACAGACTAAATAATAAATACTGATTTGGGTTATTTTCACCAAAGACATGTAGCAGAATACATTTTGGCCTAAATTTATGAAGAACAATTATTTATTTGCAAACTTTTATAACAGAAACAAAGAAACATGTTTTTTTTTAAATTTTCAGCCTTTTTTTGTTAATTTAGCAAAAAATAAAAACCCCAGTGGTGATTAAATACCACCAACAGAATGCTCTAGTTTATAAAATGTTAGTTTGGGTACAGTGTTGCATGACCACGCAATTGTCATTCAAAGTGTGAGAGTGCTGAATCCTGAAAATTGCCTGGGCAGGAAGGGGGTAAAAAGTGTTGAAGTTGTTAATTGCAGCAAGGGGAAAACAATGAATGATGCCGTGGTAATAGCACATAGTAAATGTCTGTATAAATGAGCACAGTGGATTGTCCAGCCGGTGGTATGAGCTTGTGTGCTGACACACCCTGCTCTGTGCTGCCTAAGCTGCCATGCCATGTATGTGCTTTTAAATGCTAACAATGGCTTCCTAGCCAAGGCTTGTAGTTGCGAGACATGAACCCTGGCACACACCTTTCTTTGTGAGTACAAAATGAAAAACAATTTGATCCTTAAGCAGCTCCCCGGATGTAACTTATGTACCCCGCCTAGTGAATGTATGTTATTTTGGTTTGCATAGCCAAGGTGTCTTTTACACCTGGAGGCTGTGTTTGCTCATAGAAGCTGTTAACAAAGGTCACATGGGTTGTCCTACTAACTGGATTCCTATGGGAACCATTGCAGAGATCTGAATTCTATGTTGTCTTAACTGTATTTGTCTTCCTGCTTTGTTTGTGTCTTGTGTATTTTTGGTATCTCAATAGAGTGTGTTCAGGAAACCGCACCTGCTTATGATTTTCATGGCTTTGCTTGAGCAGATGAAGTCATCTAGGCCAGGGCACCATCTCCGGACTGTAACCACTTGTCTGTAGTTAGATGTTAACCGAAACTCGGAGTGTACATATGTATACACGTCTATATAAACGTTAATATATCGTGGAGATATCTGTCACGACAAAAATTTTACACCAAAAATTAATGTTTAATTAATGTTTATTACCTAAAATCTCTCTCTTTTTTGGATACAGCGTAAAAGGTTTTAATTCTTTTTTTATTTTTGTATGCATTCCACAACCTTTGTCACCGTGACAAAAGATGATGGGAAATCCAAAGTTTTTCAGTTTACAGTGGAACAGGAAGTGATGAAAAATGTTGCCTTTTCCAGTGACAACTGTCTAAAAGGCAATATCCTCCCTCTTATAGAAATCTATGCTCACCCCCTGCTGTGTGTCAAGGACAGGTAATGTGGGGACATCTAGCCAATACTACACAGATGGAAAAAGCAAAAAAAAAAAAAAAAAAACACACAAAAAAAAACGTGATAACAGGTTTATTTATTAAAGCTGATTCACTCTTGTGCACGTCTGCATGGAAACCAATTAGCTTCCATGTTTAAGGCAAGGTTCACATCTGTGCAGGTGATGCCGCTGCGGATCCACACAAAGATCTGTGCACCCGCACAGAGGACTGCGGACATGCGGGCGGGTGCCATTAGTTTTAGAGGCATACTGCCCGCACTGGAAAACGCAACCGTACTTGGAACCGAGGTTCCCGTGCGGGCTGCGTTTTCAGAAGGAGTGCAGGGACTTCCTCTCTGCGTGTCACGGGGCACAGGAGTCCAGTCAAATGAATGGGCTCTCGTGCCAACGCAAATCGCGGCCCGCATGGCCACATATATGTGAACCAGGGCTAAGTGCTAAAGCTTAATTGAACAAGCTGAGGTTAGAAGCTGATTGGTTACCATGCACAGCTGCACCAGATTCTGAGTGAACCAGCTTTAGTAAATCTTTCCCTGTGATTCTAGTCATTCCCTACTCTCTCTTCAAAGGAAATAAAAATTAGCTAGAGATACAATTTAAAGTAAAATTTTTAGCACATTGTAACGGAACCGGACCCTGACTGCACTAGGGTATTTCCGTTAGACTCCCGCTCCCCTGTCCGAACACAGATTCACGGACACCACCGCTGACCATACAAGAGGAGACAGCACCAGACTTGAAGGATTCCAGGAGATTGCTTTATTTGAACATAGATACAAAATATATACACAGGGCGGGGAAATACACACTCAGTAACAGGAAACACATCAGCAGGCAGTCCCATCAGGGGGAAGGGCTGCCGGAAACACCCCCCACCAAGCCAATGCACAAACGCATATATCCCATAATAGTTTGCTCCCAAGCCAGACACACAATAGAACAATGGGATGCAGCCACATGGCAGTGAACAATGAACAACCCCCACCTATACATGTCTACACAATAGCAGGACATTCCACCCTGTACCCCTAACAGGCACAGGGTGTCAGGGACCATCACGACGCATGGGTCTACACATGCGTAGGCATCTGTCAAGACGTGCAGCTGGCAGGGCACTAGGACCCAGGTGCACCCGTCATCTTGACAGTACTAGGCAGGCACTGGGACCTAGTCGGCACCTGTCAGGTGCAGGGTGGGCTACTTAAAGCAGCCCTGCACAGACGCTTGTTGCCGAATGGTCTTTTTTATCCTGTTGCCTGTGTTGTGAGTACTCTGATCTGGATTGTCTGACCTTGTTGCCTTCTCCTGTCCTGACCCTTTGGCTTGCCTGACTCTGCTCCTGGATGTTCCCTTATAGATCTGAGCTTTTGGTATTGACCCTGCGTGTGACCCGACTATCCTTTGCCTATCGTCTTGTACCTCACCGACCCACTAGTTACCGACCCGGCTTGTTTGACTCTGACTTTGCTCATCCATCCATCCCTCACGGATCCCTGGGCTCCCTCACATCAGACTCTTAACCCGCTGGAGCCCTTGGCAGACTCCTCTACCTCTGGTAGAGATACCTAGCAGCTGCGACCTGGTCCCGGAGCGCTCCAAGTCCATCCCCACCATCAAGGGCCCTGGTGAACAAGTGCTCCGGTACTTAGACTCTGCACTCTGGGGAGGCTCTATCAGGGGACTGATAGAGGTACTGTCAGGCGGTCCGTTACAGTACCATTCGGCCATGACTGAGTCTGAAGGGGGGCCTTCTCCCATAGAAGAGATTTGCCAACATTTGTCCG